CCCCCCACACACACACACTGGGCTAACAATTACCAAGCACTCTCTATGTGCCAGGCACTGTGCTAAGCGCATTATGGGCATTTTACCCTCACAACATGTCCATGAAGGAGGTATTATTAAGCCAAATTTACAGAACAGGAAATAGCTCACAGAGGTTAAGTGACTTGTCCAAGAATACACAGCTAGTAAGTGGAAGAGAACTAAAATCCAGATCTATCCAATTCCAGCAAATGTGTTTCTAATCATATACTACACCGTCAACATCTGTTCTCACCTGGCCACATGCTGTCCCCACCCCATCTCTGTCACTTCCCCCTCCAGCTGCCTTGGGGGATTCCTGTCGAGTTGCTGTTAGGGGACTGCTGGGTGCAACTGTTACATACTTGGGCCTGGTCCCCAATCCACGTGCCGGGGGCAGTCCGAGAGCACAGATGCAGAGTATGGTACCTTGTGGGCAGGTTCCAGAGAACCAGCCCAGTGACCATGAATCTGGATGGCTCCCACCACGTGGGGCAGGGCCAGAGCTGGGATCGGGGCAAGGATATAGAGGGTGGGCCTGGTGCCTGAGCTGAGAGGCAGTGTGCAGAGGCTGTGCCAGCGACCTGATCTCGTCACTGTCTGCCTTCCTGCCTAGCCAAGCACCTGAGGAACATCAGGCTGCCCGGCTGCTCAGGGGATCGGGGCTGCCTCTGCTGGGGCTAACGCTGACCGGAAGGCAGCTCCACAGCCCACAGGCCCTCCTCTGTGAGGCTGGCTGCAAAGGGCTTTAGCACCCCATCAGTGTCACCATGGACCCTCCTTGTCCGGCATACCCAGCAAGGACCAAGCTACTTCTCCCAGCTCCTTGATTCCATCCATCCCCGACATGCTGACCTCTCCACTCTCTTCCCTTCAGTCCCCTACCCCCCAACCCCCACACACACCCAGGCCTCTGGAGCCAACTGACAGGTTCACATCCTGACTCTGCCACTGCTGGCTGAGTTCTGGGGAGAGTGGCCTTGCCTGTAAGGGAGAGTGACACAGTGCCAGCCGGGGCTGGAGGTGAGGAGAGAGGAGATGACACAGGTGACATGCACAGCACTGAGCTGCCCCCCAGCTACAGCGGTCCCCAGGGGCAGGGTGCCTGCTTAGTCACCCTCAGACTACTAATAACAACAATGACTATGATAATAACACCCAAGCCTGTGGTGTGTTTTACTACCACCAGGCACCGTCCTCAGTGCTGGACTATGTCAGGGAACTTAATTCTCTCACCACTATGATTTAATTCTTATTTTCTCCCTTTCACGGATAAAGAAACAGGTACAGAAGGTGTAGACAGGACAGGTGACTTCCTGAAGTCACATGGCTAACAAGTGGCAGCGGAAGAATTCTAACCCAGGCTGCCTGGCTCCTGAGGCTGTGAACAGAGCACAGGCCCCTCCCCCACCAACACACAGCACCCAGTTCCTTCCCCAAGCTTAAGACCCAGCCAGGTCTCTCTTCCATCCCCACCTGTGACTCACCCAGCCGGGGCCCTCCAGCCCCATGGCCCTCTCACCCTCCCCAGTCCTGCCCAGCTCATCTCCAGAACCTCCCAGTCCTCACCTCTGCCCAGCTCCACCCTCTCCCCCCCCAGGGCCTGACCCACTCTCCTCTACTCTCACTCCCTGTCCTCTCCTAGCCTGCTTACCTGAGCCACCTCAGTTGGTCCAGGGGCAGTTGTCCCCAGGGGCAGGGTGATCTTCTCAGGGATGTCAGGCTCCTGGGTGGTAGCTGGCCTGGGAAGGGCCCTTGGCCTAGAGGTAGCTGTACTGACCAGCCCGGGTGTTGGAGCCTCAGTGTCCAAGACAGCAGCCGTGGTGGGAGGTGAGGGCGCTGCTGGGGTGGTGGCCCGGGCCGTGGCTGCCGTGGTCAGTGGAAGAGGGAGAAGCCTCCGTATGCTGGTGGTCCTTATGACAGAGGTGGTGGTCGCGGAGGGGGCTGCCACAGGGATGCTGGGAGTGGCGGTGGCCACTGTGGCAGGCACCAAGGCCATGGTCGGGGCCCCTGTGGTCGTGGCAGCAGTGGTAGCCATGGGAGTGGAGATGGTAGTGGCTCTCTGGCTGGGCTCTTCTGGGACCTCTGTCACCACTGGGAGGCTAGTGGCTGGTTCTCGAGTGGGACGCTCAGAGGGGAGCTCTTCAAATGGGGTGTCCACGGGCTGGATGTCCATGGTGGGCAGCACAGCAGGTGTGGTGGACACTGCCAGGGCTACATCTGGGCTGAACCGCATGGCTGTCTCAATGCCTGACTCCTGCTCGAAGTCTGAGGGGTGGGGAGAGGAGAAAGCTAGAAATCTGGGTGATTGTGAGGGGCCTGGGCGTGAGGATCCCAGGTAAGCCATGGCCATCAAGATGAGCGGTCCCCACTCTTCGCACAATGTTCCCAGGACAAGATGAGGGAAATGAGGAAGGCACTGTCTGGCCAAAGGTTACTAGTTGGCCAACGGCTGGTTCCCCATTCCTTTCTGCCCAGCCAAAAATTCCTCTAGGGGACCATCTGTTCCAGGAAGTCTTCCCTGACTACCCCAGCCCACCCAGCCTGGAGCTTCTAACAGGCTGAATCCAGGCAGTGGTAACCAAGGGCCTACTGGCTACAAATCTCGCTAGAGGTCGGGGAAACGGGAAAGGCATTCTGGGAAAAGGCAGTGGGTACATCAAGGGCTCCCTGAGGTGCAGGCAGAGGGCAAGAGGCAGAACGAGACCTTTCTACAAGGGAATACTTGAGCAACCTGGAGGACTCGAACCAGGTCAAGTAAAGGGACTTGGGAGGAAAGAAGAGAAAAAAAGAGAAGCTGCATCGGCTCCTAGGGGGCCTGAACCAGGCAGAGAAGCAAAGGGGAGCCAGGAAGGTTTGGAGGCAGAGACATGGCCCATCAGAGACGAATCTAATGAAAATTAACTTGTAAGAGGCTTAAAAAGGTGGGCTAAAGTGAGGAGACTAGAGGCAGGTGGCTGCAGTGGCCAGTTTTGTGGCACAAAGACCTTCCAGGATCTCATGAAACCTGTCCTGTCCTGTCCTCTCACTGGGCTCAAATCTCAGCACACACCTGCTTAGAGCTCCCTCTCTGTGCCAGACCCGGAGGACTATGCTGAAGCCCTCCAGAGACCCTGAGAAGAAGGTATATTTATCACTATGCACAGATAAGAACAGAGACGCTGAGAGGGAAGGCGGCTCTATAAAAGTGGCACAGCTGTTAGGTAGTGAAGCTGGGATTCGAACTCACACCATTCCGCTGGCCTTTCCCAGGGTGGCCTCAGACCCAGCGGTCCCAGGCCCCACCCTTCTCCATCAGTGCCCTAACCCACACTGGCCCCAGTGGCTTGGACGGGAGGGGCTGAACCAATCCAATGGTCTCTGCTGAGGATTTGCCCGCTAAGTTCCTCTGAGTGGTTGGAACAGTACTGAAAACTGGGTTACTGAGTGACATCTGTGTTCCCACATGGAGGGCGGAGGTCTACAGGGAGATCTAGGTAGTGCACAGAGACAGAGACTGGGTCCTGGGCTTGGAGGCCTTAAGGCCCTGGTTCCATCCCCAGGATAATTGGCCCTTCTTGTGTTTGAGGTCCATGAGATTCCCCTGCCTGACCTCCCTGCCCCCACACCACCGCTTAAGTGAGCCTGCAGGGGTCCCTGTTCTCAGATCAAAGCCTTGTGCTGGGCACTGGAGACAAAGGAAGGGGAGGTACTTACAGCCCGAGCCTGACCCGGAGTACAGGTCGTCCAGCTCATCGTCGGGGAAGGAGTCATCATCCCCGGAGCCCTCGAGGTCCACAGGCCTCTCAAAGTTCTCATTGCGCCAGCGCTGAGTCTGGGGAGGGCAGAGACAGGCACAGGGTTCAGCACCTGAGGCCAGCAGCTGGACAAACCCAAAGGGACGACAGACATGCTCACGGACCAAGTGGCAATGGAGGGACGGCATCAGGTGTGGCCTCCAGGTGGACAGAGCCAGGGTGGGCCTAATGAGCACTTCCTGCCCACCCAGGGGCCAGGGTAGCAGCCCCACCTTGCTGACGGTCACTACTGAGGATCCGTCACTCACCCAGGCCCTGATCAGAACTGCTGGGTGGCAGAACTGGGTTTAGAGCCAGGATGCTGGACTTAAGTCCTGGCTCCATCTTTCTGTTCTGGAACAGGCCTGGCCTCTCCAGCCTCTCTTGCTCATGCCTTTCCCTCCACCCAGAACACTGTTCCTTCCCACCCCTTCATCCTCCAACTTTGTGCCAACTAATAGCTGCTCCTTCTTCCGAGAAACCCTCCTACTTTGATCTTTCAGAGCATCTTGTGCTTCCAGATTCACATCTGTCACTGCTATGAGCTGGGTCAGCGCGGGTGTGCGCTTGTTTGGTGACTGCTCACCCCCACTAGACTATGCCTCGATGGAGGCAGGACCGGGTGGGCACAGAGTAGGTATTCAGGACATACCTGTTAAGGAATGGAGGTGGGGTTGGAAGATGTGACAGGGGTGGGACAGGAGCAGGAGCTGAGGTTGGGGAAGCCAACCACAGAAGGCTTCAGTGGCCACCTGACAACTTTCTCAGAGGTGGAGGCTGAGCATCCACAGTGCTGACTGGCATGGAAGCCACAGAGGGTGTGTGAGCAGGAGACAGGCGGGATCAGTACTGTGTTCTGTGCTCAGCCTCTCACACCCCCGCCCCTCACAGGCCCCTCCTGGAGTTCAAACAGAGCTAAGAGAGGATCCCAATCCTGGCTTCCTGCCCCCGCCTCGACCACCTGCTCTAAAGCCTACCCAGGCCAGGCAGGGCAGGAGGCCCGGGAAGGGGGCCAGGAGATTCCCCCCTCCACCCCGCCCCCTTTAACACACACACACACACACACACGTGCAAGCACACACACACACACACACACACACACACACGCGGTCTCGAAGTAATGAATTAATCAGTATTTACTTGCTACCCCTGAGTCATGGAGTGAAACAATTAGTGTAATTGCTCCCATGACTAATTGCTGGGTCTTCCTCCAGCTTAGACATTCCAGGAGCTCAGAGCAGCCATCGTCCAACTTTCCCCAGCTCCCATATCCACCCCAACTGCCCAGAACAACAACCCCAAGACCTGGGGTGAGGAGGCTAGGAGGCTCCCCACACTGCCAACCTCCAAAGCTGGGCCAGCCTAGCTGGAGTCCCTTGTAGACTGCTCAGTTCTTAGGCAAACCACCTGAAGCCAGAAACTGCAGCTCCTGCCCAGGGCCACACAGCAGGATGGGAACTGAGCAGGGACCAGGGCTCAGGCTCCACTCCTGGGTGGGGCCATCCTCACCGTCTTTCCATCCTTCCAGGCAGGCCAGGGAGACCTTTAGCTGGGAGGAGAGGTTCTAAGAAGTCTGTGGTCCCTAGGGACTCCCAAGCTGGGGTAGACATGAGGGTGTCCTCACGATTCCTCAGTGACAAGTGCCACACAGCAGCCCCTGACACGCTGCTCCCAGAAAGGTCTGCAGAAAAGTCCAAAGACCCCCCCCCCAAATTAACACAGACCCTTGAAATGACACACCCAGAGACACCAACAGAACGTATACAGACACACCCAGACACACTAAAGGCAGCCACAGAGTGCCATGTGCTGGCGTGCCTTTGGGGGCAAACAGGCACAGGCATGGGGGGTGGGACTGGGCAGGGGTGCATGCTGTGCAGCTCTGAGGCTCAGAGACAAGGAGGGAACCTCCTGTGAACCCATCAGCCTCCACTCAGGTAGCTCTCACCTAGATACTATTCATCCCCAGCTCAGTAGCCATCGACATGACAACCGTTACCATGACGACCATCTCCTCCATGCTAAGGACCAGGAGCTCCAGCTCCCCACAGAGATGGGGGGGCAGGAGAGGGAGAGATCATGAGGAACAGGGAGGAAGGCAGAGAGGGGGGAGGGCAGAGGCATGGGACGAAGAGGTAAGGACAGAGGAAAGCCAGGGGACAGAGGGGCACAGGGTGGGAGTGAGAGAACGAGAAGGCGAGAGTGGGAAGTGGAGGGGGAGAATTCTCTCTCATCTTAATTTAGCCTCATGCTCATCAGACAAAGCTGGGGAAGGGGCCACCTCGGTGATTTTCCAAACGTGCATCCAAGAGATCGTTCTTTTGGGGAGGCGCACAAAGCAGCCCCAAGACAGCATAGGGGGAGGGGTGGCCAATGGCCCAGTCACCCCTGAACTCATCCTGGGAAGCTAAATTCTGGGAACTCCTGTGACTTGTGGGGGTGGGAGGTGGGGTGCAGAATGCAATCTTGCCCAGCACCTCCCCCCAAGGTGACTGAGTGCCAGCTCTACCCCTCCCCAGGCCAGCTAGGGACCAGGGCTCAATGGGGCCTCCCGGGAACGCCACAGGGTGCTGCTGGTGGCTGTAGCCCCCAGGGGGACAGAAAGGATAGAGGAAAGAGATGGGGGTGGGGAACTGAGCCTGGGAGGCAGGAGGGAAAGCCTCAGAAATCACAAAATGCCAGAGGATGGTGACAAACAGCCTTTGACCCCCAAACGACCTCTCATTTGCATAATCCATGCATAATTAGCATAATAACCACTCCATTCCCTTAAAGGAGAACTGAATCAGAATGTCCCCAGGACCATCAGCCTCCCCCTAACCCTCACTGCACCCCTCCAGGTAAACTCACACAAACACATGCACGCATGCAGCTAACAGGCAATCCAGTGACATCCTTGTGCACACACCACACATCCCAGCACACACAGCCACACCCCACAAAACACACAGCTATATACACACAGCCCGACATACACACACACATAATTATGACCAACATCTACTGACCCCAACTTGTGTGCCCACCTTAGCTCACAGACAATAGAGCCCAGTTCACACCATCACAAGATCACCTGCTCTCTACATCCCTAGCTACATGTGCACACACACACACACACACACACACACATACACACAAACGCACCTGCTCCACACCTAACACAACCACGAATGCCCCATACAGACTTCATAATCTCGCCACATGGGTGGCACACACCTCACCCAGGGCACACACTGACGCCTACCCATTCCCAGCACATCACTGAACACAGCCCCAAGGCAGGGACACCCTTGGGCTCTGACACCAAGCTCACAACCTGTAAACACCATGTCTCCTGCTTGCATCCCCCACACCCACCGTGCAGACTCAGGCCCAGGCAGGAGAGCTTGCCCACTGCAGAAGCCCCTGACCGCTGCTTTCCACATTGCCAACCCCAGGAGCAGACTCCCACCTGGAGGCTCCCTGAGCAGCCAGTGAAGGTTGAAGATCCCCAGTGGAGCCACTAACAGGGCTCAAGGGGGTTCTAGAGACTTCTGCCTGCCACTGCTGAGGGCCTGCCCCAGGTCAGCAGCTGGAACACACTATCTGCTGCCTCCTTCAATCCTCACAGCCTTCCGGAGTTTTATTATCCCCATTTCACAAATGCAGACACTGGGGCTGGAGGTTAGAACTGAGACCCAAACAGGCCCTCAGTCTCTGGAATCCTTGCCCTGGGCCATCCCCAACTCGATGCTCACCCGGGGCTCCTGCCCCACTCACCCCTGCATGAGCTCAGCTCAGAACTACCCTGAGCCATCCACACATCCAGTGTCCACACACACCATACACACACTCCAGCACACGGCAAACACACCACGTGCTCTCCCACTCCATTCCGCCCACGCGTCCCTGAACAGGCACCCACCCATCATATATATGCACGACACTCTCAGATGCCCACCAGCAAGCCCCGCTACCTGCACCCCCAGCCCCCTCCACACGCATGCACCACATTCAGCACCAGGCACTTTCCCTCCCGGTACACACAATACCACGCGAGACATGGCACCCTTCCCAGTGGACTGACACGGCCCTGACATTTGTCCTCACTGACCCCTCACCACCATTTATCTTGAGCTGATCCACACAGCCTCACCCTGAAGAGACACCTCAGGCCCCCATATTGATCAGAGGGGGCCCCCTCACTCACCACTCACCCCTACTGGAGTCTCTCCATAGATTTTCAGGTGAGGCATCGAAAGCAGCTAGATATCAGCTAAGTCTCCTCGCTTCACAGCCATTCATTGAGTGTGGGGGACACGGTCAAGGAGAAAGCTAGGGCATCTCCCTCTGCCCTCAGCCTTCTGCCAAGACCAGAGGTCCGGAGTCTCTCGTGCCCGGTCCCCACCATCAGCCCTCCCCAATCACAAGCCTTCCCAGAGAAGAAGGACAGCACAGAGGTTAAGCCAGAATGGATCAGCACCCCCTTACTACCCGTGGGAAAGCAGGCAAACCACTGAATCTCTGGCATCTCAGTTTTCTCATCTGTAAAATGGGGATAATCATAGGATGTCGCTCATAGAATTGCTATGAGAATCAAATAAGAGCATGCAGGTAATGAGCTGAGCACAGGACCCAACACCTAGAGTTGAACCAACAAACGCAGCTGCGATTATTGTTAGTTATATGTTAATAATTTTTTGTTATTACTTCTGAAGACCTTATCTCATTTAAGCCTCACCATCCTCATGAGGGAAGTAGAATCAGGATGATTACACCCATGCTGCAGATGAAGCTACAAATGCCCAGAGAGGTTAGGAGGCACTGCCAAGGCCACCCAGCAGGGGAGAGCGCAGAGACAGAAAGAGGTTGGATGAGGGAGAAAGGGTGAGTTACAGACACAGACACAGACACACAAATTAGGTCGGCTGGCGGGAGGCCAGGAGCCCAGCACCCCTGTGCGGTGCTAACCATGCTGCAAAAGCTTAGAATAAAATTGCGTATAATTAATTCTGCCCACGCTTCCTTCCCTGCACCAGCCAGACGCAGGCACTGCTCTTCCGGTGACCAGAGGCCATGTGAGTGGGGGTTGGGATCCCAGCCTTAGGTTCAGTCTTGGGTTCAAGTTCACCTCTGCTTACTTGCTAGGTGACTCTGAGGAAATTCTTTTACTTCTCTGAGCCTC